GCAGTGTCAGATTCCTCGCATCACCTTTCACCATCTCGTGGAGTCACCAGGCGGCCCAACGAAGTACTGATGGGGTGGTCATACATATTGAATATCTTGGGGGAAGGGTATTATTGTCGTCCCCCAAGGACTAATCTCAGGAATAAGGACTGACCCGATTGTCATGACTTACCTGGAGGAAGCCCGGTGATCTGTATCTTCTCTGGTGGCCCCGGGTCCCTTGGCTTCTATGTGTAGTCTAAGTTTGCCCCTTTCGCTGAGCAGACTCTCATCACTTCATCGGAGGACGTTGTGTGATCTTCACCTTCTCTGGTGGCCCCGGGTCCCGTTGCTGAGTTATGTATTCTAAGCTTTTCTCTTTTCACTTTCCATATGACGCGTCTTCATTGACCGATCCCCACCACGCATCTCACATTGACGATCCTTACTTCCCACTGTAAACGTTGTCTGCAGCTTCATTAATACAATGACTTCACCCACGGACATGTCCACCATCTGCTGTCCCTCAACCACCAAGTCTGGATGTGGCACAGCCCTGTAACTTCTGAGATGAATCTCATGTATTATGTGCCTGCAGTGTGTGAACCACCATGGGTAGCACTGTGACTTAGTGGTTAGCACTTCTGCCTTGCAGCACTGATGCTCCCTGGTTCAAATCCCGGGCAGTGTGGGTTTCCTTCTAAGACATGTTGGAAGGTTAATGGGCTCCTGTCTAAATCAGCCCTGTATGTGAGATCGGGACCTTAGATTATATTATCCTTGAGCAGGGCCGGATATACTCTCTCTCTGCTGCCCCAAGGCCAGGTTCCTCAATGCGCCCCCCTACCCACCAACACCCACCCATGGAGAGTAGCAGACCTGCAGGCTGCATACAAGTGAACTCGGCAACAACACCAAGATCACTTGTACAAAACTAGCGGCTGCTTCCTCGCTGTACAATTAGCTCAGCTTGCCCAAAGCCGGGATACATGTAGAAAACAACTACCCGCCCGGCACCCGGAACAGCATGTCCCGAGCATCGGGAGATAGGAATTCCACACCCCTGCTGCCCCTCTACTCCCTGTACTTTGTAAGAGCCATGATTGGGCAAAGTCATGATGATCATGGCTCACCTGTCAGATGATGTCAAACGACACAATGGCTAAATCCCCTATAGCATTGCGAGACTCTGACCGCCACCGGCATGGCTCCCCGGATGCAGAACTCGGGTTTTTCGGCAGGATCATTGAATGCTGCAAGTTTAAAGATATTGAATACAGCTTGTGAACCGACATAACCTGTTATAACGTTTGTAAGATTTTAGTGATTGGCTTGACATTGGAAACCTATTCCATGAAGCTCTCTACGCACTGTTGTTGCGCCAATCTGAAGGCCACACGGAGTTTGGAGGTCTGTAGCTATTGACTCTGCAGACAGCTGGCGACTTCTGCGCACTGTGCGCTTCAGCACGTGCTGACACCGCTCTGTCATGTTACGCGGCCGACCACTTCCTGGCTGAGTTGCTGTTGTTCCCGGTTGCTTCCACTTTGTTATAATACCAGTGTAGCCCTGTTGTGATATCAGCTCCTTTAAGAGAAAATATATTACAGCTGCAGGTGGAGCCGGAGAGCACAGCTATGTGGGGATTGTGGACACAGCCGAGGAGGAATTATAAATGAAAATGGATACTTGAACTACAGTTCCCAGAGTGCTACAGGGGAGAAGGGAAGTGAACTCTGGGGGGCCAAAGGTTGCTGGCCTCAGTCTGGTGTGAGGACACAGGGAAGGCAGACTGCTGTTGCTGGTGTTGTGCAGCCAGCTTGTGGAGAGACTGTGCTCACTTGTCACACGTGCAGTCCTGAAGTGACATCTGCTGCACAGAGTAAATCGCTGTCTGTTCCTGTCTGGAAGAGGTTCCTCCGAGGCTGTGGGTGAGGTGCCATCCTGCTGAGAGGACATTGCGGGCGGTGACTCGGCCCGGACGGACGCCAAATCTGACGACCAGAACCCCTGATGACATCAGACTTCAGCTCCTATATACAGTTCTTCATCACAGAAGATAATTGCTGACAACACTGCCGGCTACAGACGGACATCTCCCTCCGTGTATGGGTGAGAGGCCTTCAGCCTGTTGTCATTAACAGTACAGACAGATTTTCACTGTTTGTATTGGGCCCCAACGTTGGCTAGCTGAAGAAACTACCACTGGCCAGTGGGTTAGGTACACGGGTACATTGGGACTAAGTTTATATATACAGTTTGATTAATGTCCAACAAGTTCACAGTTAGAATAACCGCATTTACCGATCATCACTGTTATGCTGATGTCTCATATACAGTCTCTGTGTTATGCTGTGTAGAGATAAATGTTGATGTTGTATACTGCTATTCAGATTATTATATACAGTAAATAGTTATTTAAAATCTCACAAGGTGTGCTGTGGATTCATTGTTTAAGGGCTATCACTGAGGTGGAACAGAAGTACCCAATCATCCAGCAGCTCCTTCGGGGGTGAGCGCTACACCAGTAACAGGTGACCGCGGAATATTTAGTAGCCAGGAAATGTCACAGATAGACTTACTGCACAGGTGACAACCTATCACGGTACCACGCTTGTAGTCACTGAGCTCCTGAGAGCGACCCATTCTTTCCCCAATGTCTGCAGAAGTGTCTGCATGCCGAGGTGCCTCATACTATACACCTGTGACCATGGAGGGGATTGGAACACCTGAATCCAATGATTTGGAGGAGCGTCCCAATACTTTTGGCAATATACTGTATACTCAGCTCAGTATCTGGAACCATTTTACATTATGACCCCCTGTAGCTGTATAATGCCCCCGTGTCACCCATAATTTCACATAGTCTATAATATTATGTTGGAGGCTCCTCTGTCCCCCATGAAGACAGAGAAGAGACAAAACGCTGAGTTCAGGATTAATCCCTTTTTATTCCATTCATTATAGAATAGTCTGTAGTTCTTCTAAGACACAAAGAGGACACAATGGGGACACAATGGGGACACAACAAGGAAACAAGGAGGACAGAAGGAGGACACAATAGGGACACAACAAGGACAGAAGGAGGACACAATAGGGACACAAGGAGGACAGAAGAAGGACACAACGAGGACACAATGAGGATACAAGGAGGACACAATGAGGACACAGCGAGGACACAGCGAGGACACAGCGAGGACACAGCGAGGACACAGCGAGGACACAGCGAGGACACAGCGAGGACACAGCGAGGACACAGCGAGGACACAGCGAGGACACAAGGAAGACACAAGGAGGACAGAAGGAGGACAGAAGGAGGATACAAGGAGGACAGAAGGAGGATACAAGGAGGACAGAAGGAGGACACAACGAGGACAGAAGGAGGATACAAGGAGGACAGAAGGAGGACAGAACGAGGACACAATGAGGAAAGCGATTCTTATACACAGATATAATAAATGTCATAGGAAAATGTTACTATAGAAAATAAGAATCTCCAATACAGATTATACAATCGGATTATGCAATGTGTACAGAGATGACGATTGGGGACAGGTCAATGATTTAACAATAGCGCGTTCCCCAACAACCTCAACACTTTCGTCACTTGCATGATTTTACTACTTTTGCTGACTTTACACCTCTCACATTTGAGGTTCCTCCAGAGAAGGGGGATCTGGTAATGGTTTGGTAGGTGTTTGCACCTAGAATTGCCGTGCACCATGAAAGAAGGGGGTGCAGTGTGTATCAGGGTGGCTAGTTACTATTTACTGATAGGCACCTGGAATAGACCCGTCCCTCATCTTCTCCCCTAACTCAATGGCCGTCCCTAATGCCCCAAGAGCTCTCAAGGTAATGGTGGCCATATTTTTGCATTAATTATTACTAATCGGTTCTGTATATCAGAAGGTTCTCAAAACATTTCCATAATACTCACTGGGGGCAAACTACAAAAAGTCACAATCCTCTGACAAAAGCAAGACTACCCTAACATATTGTATAGACATTATATGGCCAAAAGCTTGTGGACACCTGACCATTACACCTACAGTATATGAGCTTGCTCGTCATCCAGTTTCTAAACCAGGACCATTATTATGGAGTTCACCCTTTGTGGCTATACCATCCTCCACTCTTCTGGGAAGACTTCCATAAGATTTTGGAGGGTGCTTGTGGGAACTTGTTCCCATATTTGTGGCCAGGTCCTGATGTAGGATGAGAAGACCTGGCTTACTGTCAGCATTCTAATTCCTCCCAAAGGTGTCCAGTAGGGTTGAGGTCAGGGCTCTGTGCAGGACACTCGAGTTCCTCCACCCCAAACTGGTCACACCATGTCTTTATGGAGCTGGCTTTACTCTTATGGGAAGGCTTTGCACAACCACCCATTGGAGGCTGTCTAAGGGAATTGGTGCCACAGACACACTTCAGTTCAGGTTTTGATGTTGGATGAGAAGATCTGGCTCACAATCATCGTTCCATTTCATCCCAAAGGTGTTCAGCAGGGTGGAGGTGCAGGACACTCAAGTTCCTCCATACAAAACTGGCCAAACCATATCTTTATGGACTGTACACAGGGGACAGTCATGGTGGAACAGAAAAGGGTCTTCACCAAAGGAAATACCTGAACTCCTTCATTTGAAGGGATGTTTACACAGTTTTGGAAACAGAGGTAGGTTGGATGGTGTTTCATAGTTTTCTTTTTCAACTTTAAATGCTCAAGCCAAGATTATTTTATTATACTTACCACTGTCTGTGGTCTCCAGGACAGAACGTGAGAGGAAATGGTTCCAATGGAGACACAGGCAGAGATAAAAAACCTAACAGAAGATCTAACCCTTCTCCACTCCACCCCAGACTGGAAGGAAAGGTTTTAGCTTGGGATCCACCTGTACACATTTTATTACAGAATTACAAAGTATTATTCCTGTATAACAGATATGATGGCCCATCAGAACCTGTTCATATCCAACGGCAGATTGGTCAGTCGGTATACGACGTCCTGAGAACACAGCGGTGGCCTTTCAGTTAAAGATGATGAACTGACAGAGCAGAAGAGCGATCACAACCAGGGATGAAAATATCCGGGTCCCTGCAAAAAAAAACATCAGAGAACTGAATTATTCTGAGAAAACCACAAAATCTTCTATATAACAAACAACAAAATCATTTAGAGAAAAGGTCCTTCATGGAATGATAAAAAGATTACGACTCTTAGGCTTCATCCACACCTTAGTGTTTTCGGAGGATTTTTATTTGTGCAGTTTTTTCAGGGGTATTCAGGCTCGGGGAGTTTTGTTTTAGCCAATAGAACGCGATGCATTAGGAGAAGGAGATGGTTGTTTAGCCTTGATGTTTAAGGCATTTTCAAGTGTTTTTCAGGCACTTCAATCAAAGTCTATGAGGCTCTCTACCATTCTGATTATTCCCACCACCGGGATATCACACCTCCAACATGACCCTCCATAAGGTAGAAGATACTCTGCTCCTGACCTTCCCTCCACCTTTCTGATTACACCCACCACTGGGATATCACACCTCCAACATGACCCTCCATGAGGTAGAAAATACTCTGCTCCTGACCTTCTCTCTACTGTTCTAATTACACCCACCACTGGGATGTCACACCTCCAACATGACCCTCCATAAGGTAGAAGATACTCTGCTTCTGACCTTCTCTCCACCTCCCTGATTACACCCCCCACCGGGATATCACACCTCCAACATGACCCTCCATAAGATAGAAATGTCTCTGATCCTGTTCTTCTCTCTACCTTTATAGTTACATTCACCATCAAGATATCACACCTCCCACATGACCCTCCATATTATAGACAATATTCTGTTCTCGGCCTTCTCTCCTTTTCATTTATACTCACCAATGGAGGAACTATCGCCATAGTGACCCAGGCAGCCCCTATGGAGCCTGTGGCACGGCCCAGCCAGGACCAGGAACAAATGGGCCCCCCTGATGCTGTGCAGGCCTCCTGGGTCGCTATGGCATCGCAGGCTGCAGGACTGTCACTGGCCATTGGGAGAGTCTATGGTGGGCTCTGCAGGGTCACTCTCAGGTGGGCTGTGTGGGATCTCAGGTGAGCTGTGCGGGGTCTCATGTGGGCTGTGCCGGGTCTATGGTGAGCTCTGCAGCTGTTTCTACCTTTCTGATTACACCCACCACCAGGATATCACACCTCCAACATGACCCTCCATAAGATAGAAGATACTCTGCTCCTGACCTTCTCTCCACCTTTCTGATTACACCCACCACCAGGATATCACACCTCCAATATGACCCTCCATAAGATAGAAGATACTCTACTCCTGACCTTCTCTCCACCATTCTGATCACACCCACCACCGGGATATCACACCTCCAACATGACCCTCCATAAGATAGAAGATACTCTGCTTCTGACCTTCTCTCTACCTTTCTGATTACACCCACCACCGGGATATCACACCTCCAACATGACCCTCCATAAGGTAGAAGATGCTCAGGAATTATGGAGGTTCTGTATGTTCTCTGGTATGCTTTGGGTTTCCTATGAAGCAGAACATATAATTCTACCTTTCTTGTGACATCATAAATGTTAGTATCGGTGATTAGTTTAGGAGAGGGCTTCATGCTCACCTCTGCTGGGCACACATGTACTGGATTTCCCTCCTGTAAAAATAATGACCAGAGATGTCACATCACAAGAAGAACCAGGAATACAACCAACTTCATACAAATGTCATAAGTATGCCATGGTGGCAATGCCGTACTCTTCTCGAAAGCCACCCGTGTCTTTTTTTCACATTGACCAAACAGCCAAAAAAGTATAAAGTTTACTAACCGGGCCTGATGTAGTCACAGTTGTAGAAGTGACATCTTCTTTTTGTCGTTTTAAGGACAAATGTGCCTTTACCGGCCACCTCTGTGAAGTTGGTCACTTGGAAAACCTCATCAACCGGTATCAGGACCTCTTCTTGATCTGGCACTAAGGAATATGTTTTGATTTTCACACCGAAGCAGCTGGTGAAGGTGAAGAACGTGTCATTCCCAAAGCCCTCCGATACTTTTTTACTGGTGGATGAAGAGTAAAACTGGCCGAATCTGACCTCTGCCCCGATCGCTTCAGGTTTCAAATGCGTGTTGCTCATCCCTCTGTATACCGACCATGTCGACCACCAACAGCTCGGCCTCAGTAGCACTACACCTCGTGTCATCAGGAAGTGCAGAGAATGGTAGGGGAACGTGTCCCGGCCGCTATAATTTCTCACCGCGCTGTTGAAGTTGGAATAAAGACTGCTGCTGATGTTGGTGTATGCCATGATGGCAATGCCGTACTCATCCCGAAAGCCACTCGGAACGCTCGGTTTCTCTGAGTTCCATTTCTTTTCTGCCGCATCCCAAGTTCTACCGAATTCTTGGTTAGCTGCTTTTTCCCTAATAAGTAGTTCGGTTATATTGTTTTCCATCTCTTCTGTGCAGCCTTCGTACTGATCATCAAACGCATTGTCGTTCATAGCTAGAATTTCAACCTGCGGTGATAAGAAAAACTCCATTGTGGTCATACTGCAGTCAGATGACAATGTACATGCAGATTTGTGGATCAGAAGGCAGTCGGCCCACCAGAATGTTTTTGTTAGGGATGCACCGATACCGTTTTTTTGGTATGTGCCGAAACCAAGTACCGATAACGGCATGGTGCCAGCTTTCTGGGCAATCAGGAAGCTGGGCAGAGGGTAATGATATGCCACCTGCTTCCTGATTGCCCGGGAAGCCGGCTCCATGTTGTTTGGCCGGCTCGATTGGCCGGGAAACCAGCCAGA